GTGTTGCGTCCAATTGCCATCTCACAGCTAGAAAAATTGCTGAAAAAGCCGGTGTAAAAACACATTTGCGCAATGTCCAAAGAATTTTAAAAAAATCTGAGACCATCAAACGTCAGAAATTGCAGAGAAAACCGCCTCTCACAGCAAACCATAGACAGGCAAGATTGAGGTTTGCGGAAAGCCATATAACATGGAGTAAACGATGGCGTCGTGTTTTATTTACTGACGAAAAAAAATTTAATCTAGATGGCCCAGACGGTTGGTCTCATTATTACCACGATTTAAGAAAAGAGCAGCTCGTCCTTAGTCGTCGTCAACACGGAGGGGGTAGTGTTATGATATGGGCCGGAATTGGCTATCGCGGGAAAACTGAAATAAAGTTCGTACCATCGAAGATGAAGAGCCAGGATTATCTGAATTTAATTGGCAATGAAGTGGTTAATAGGGGGCATCAATTTACAAAAAGGCCCATGATATTTCAGCAGGACAATGCGGCTGTACATACAGCGAAAGTTGTGAAAAAATTTTTCCGTGAAGCGAATATTGAAATTTTAGATTGGCCCGCCCGGTCGCCCGACCTCAATATAATCGAAAATTGTTGGGGATACCTAGCAAGACAAGTTTATAGCGAAAATAAGCAGTATAATACTATTGAAGAATTAAAAAACAGTATAATATTAAAATGGGAGTCAATGCCGAAAAAATATATTAAAACATTATTTAAATCACTTCCTAAGCGCATGTCTGAAGTCCTTAAACACAAAGGAGGCTCCACCCACTATTAAATTGTATAAATGTTCTATCTTTTTGTCGCGCCATTTGAAGTATTTTAGATTTGTACTAGAAATATTCATATTGTTTTTGCATTCCATTGTACACATTTTTTATATGTATTTCTTTAAAATCACTTTTCTTAAAACACAATAACCATTTATTAAATAAAAAATAAAAAATTACGAAAAAATAAAATGTGCTATCTTTTTGTCGTGGACTGTATACACTATACACTAATATTCTACATTAAGATGGAATTCATTTACTGAATAAAATGTGAGGAATAGTTGAATTAAATATGTTTTGCGTTGTTATAAATGTATTGAAATTAATTTATTAATAAAAACGTGAGGAAATGGATATGTATATACACTTTTTACTGAATCAAAAAAATTTGGCGCTTTTGTTTTGGAAAAATTGGCTTTTTCTGGTGGCCTCATGCCACACTGGCTCAGTTGTCGCAAAAGTACACATACATACACACATTTTTACTTGAAAATAAGTGTGTAGTGGTTAATATGTATACGATGCCATCTTCGTACAGCTCACTTCACCTCGCCTAGCACGCTCGCGTGCACGCAGTTTGCCCGCGACGTCGACTGCGTGCACCTCTGCTGTGCATCCCTAGAATATATATATAAATTTGACGGTCAAATTTATACATATATATATGCGGTTTACTTAAAAATCAGTTAAATATTAATATATTTAACGGAGATATTTATGTATATTTAACTGATTTTTAAGTAAACCGAAAATATATATAAATTTGACGGTCAAATTTATATATACATATATGCGGTTTACTTAAAAATCAGTTATATGTATATATATATATTTAACGGAGATGTTTATATATATTTAACTGATTTTTAAGTAAACCGCATATACATATATATAAATATATATAAATTTGACCGTCAAATTCATATATATATGCGGTTTACTTTTACTGGGTAAAAGTAAAAAAATTGGAAGAAGTGCATAGTGTAAACAGAGGGTAAAAGCGTTAATGAAATGTGAAATAAATTGGCGATACCAGCGATTTGAGGTTTTAATAATTTTGGCAGGCGCGAAGTTTGTTTACTCTGTTTTATTAACGAAATATACAAAATAAAAGTGAATAAATGATTTTGTTTGTATAAAACAATAACCGGAGACGTTTAAATAGTGTTTTAAAAGTGGAAACTGGTGATTAATATATTTTTAACGTGGTAATTGCCCATAGAAAACAACGAAATTTAGCAAAAGTTTTTTGTTTATAACTTTTAAATGGATAATAATATTGGCCCTCCCCATCCGGATTGTTAATAGGGGGACCGAAACGCGTCGTTTGGTTCCCCTCCCGACTTTTCCGGACCTTTTTTTAGCAGTTGCAGGCTAGTATAAAATTACCAATTTGGTAGAAAAAAAATAAAAAATTAAGTGAGGCAATATTAAGCAAAAAAAAAAATGTATTTCTTCACTTCAACACATCGTTCCATGCATGATAAAAAAAGAAGGTAGTTTCAGTAAACAACTTTTGACGGATAATAAAATTTTTTTGAAGTTTCATAAATTGTGAGTATTATCAACGGCCTTGCCACTTTGATAATATTAAGGCAATAAATCGGAAAATTTTCTTTCGCATATTTATACCAATGTAGTAATATTTCAAATCAAAAAGCATTATCAGTGCTTGGTATTTTTTTACTTACGTAGCTCGCACTATTTTCATTAAAACTATATAAAATATAAACTATTAAAGAAGACTCATCGTAATTGTTCGTTTCTTATTTTGAATGCAATCTTGCGAATAAAAATCGAATTCTAAAAAAGTTCTTCCCAAATAAAACCTTTTTACATTTTGGTTCAAATTTAATTTTAAATTTCTCATCAAATTTTGAAAAAAAAATTTCTTGTGATTAGCGTATTAAAATGCAAATCCGCGTATGTGAGGTTGCATAAGTTATTTTCTAGAGAGTAAAAACACTCATATTTAAAAATGGTTCTCTTTTTACAAAGAAATCGCATTTCATTACGAATGGGTAAGGCTTGAGCCAAGAGCTTGTATGAGCAAAACCAATTTTTGGCGAAAAATGTCAGTTACGCGGTTTTGCACAACGGCGATACGCGGTTTTGTATCTTAAACGACAATATGTAAGTTAACACTT